TTCCTTTCAATAATTCAAAGCAATTCCTCTATTTATTTTACCCTTAGGTCGTTGGAACCGTTCGGAAATGATTCTCGAATCGTTGCAACGAGCTAAATATTTAAAAAAAAGATGAATTGTATTGAATCATTTGAAAAAACTCACGAGAATCATTTCCGAACGGTTCCAACGACCTAAGGGTAAAATAAATAGAGGAATTGCTTTGAATTATTGAAAGGAAACTCACCAGAATGATTTTCGAATCGTTGCAACGATCTAAAAATAAAAGAACACCGGAATTGCTTTGAATTATTCAAAATGAAACCCACCAGAATGATTTTCGAATCGTTGCAACGATCTAAATATAGAAAGAACAGATGAATTGTATTGAATTCTTCGAATCAACTCACGAGAAAAATTCTCGAATCGTTGCAACGAGCTAAATATAAAAAAAAGATAAATTCCTTCTAATTTTTCAAAATGAAACTCACCAGAATGATTTTCGAATAGCGCCAACGATCTAAATATTAAACAAAAGATGAATTGTATTGAATTCTGCGAATCAACTCACCAGAAAAATCTCGAATCGTTGCAACGAGCTAAATATAAAAAAAAAAGATAAATTCCTTCTAATTTTTCAAAATGAAACTCACCACAATCATTTCCGAACGGTTCCAACGACCTAAGTGTAAAAGAAATAGATGAATTGGTTTGAAATATTCAATATGAAACGCACGGGAATCATTTTCGAATGGTTTCAACGATCTAACTATTAAAGAAACGAAATCAATGGTATCGAATGATAAAATAAACTCACGAGAATCATATTTTATCGTTTCGAATGATCGAAATATTGAAAAAAGAATGGAGTGATTCTGAGCTTTCAATATTAAACTCACTAGGTGTGGGTTTGGGTGTTGTTCAAGGAGTAGCAGGACTAATATTTCCACACCCACAGCCACATCGATAATATTCTACTGTAGGAAACTGTACGTACCAATGATCACACCATGGACGATTTCATTGATGTTCCTTCTGATAACTATCGATGGCCCAGAGCCAAAAGTCATCATTGGAATTAACGATACTCTAACCATTCCTGTTTCTCGTAGTTGTTCATGATTTAACCATTAGTGTTTTTTTTATAGATATCGATCATCTATTTAATCCGGCTTTTCAATAATACATATGACTTACTTATTACTAATCCAGATAGATGTAGATCATCTACTCTATGGTGGCCCTCAATAATATCGATGATAGTATTCGAGTGAAAAAGTCCTGTGAAGAAATAATTTTATGTGTTTTGCAAAACTTTAACATATAAAGGGCGAGTTGGATGAAGGTAAAATATGACAAAGAATTTTTTATCGAATGTTAAAACATCTCCTCTTCTTTAATATAATAGGCAGCTATCAAAGTTTAACACATAAAATCGGAAATATAAAAACGAAATATTTAAGTAAAAAAAGAGAGGCGAGAAAATAACAATTGAGTCTTTAAAATCATTTCACAAAACACGAACTCGCTTTGCTCCGAGTCGGCTAGATTGTCTTTGGGATGTCGTTGATGAATATGATGATTGACTCTGTTTACGTTTTTGTTTGAGGTTGGAGTTAGATATTGTATTTTCATTAGGTGGATCAGGCTGAAGTTCATTTTCTGTCGCTTGCAAGGGTGTTTTAAACGCATATAGTTCATGTTTTTCTTGTACACTACGATCCTCGCTAAATCTTTGAGTATTAATTAATGACTGAGTCACATTTTGAAGAGCCATTGATGACTTTAACTGAGAATCATTCATCGGAATAGAAGTAGTTGATGAATGATTGAAGACATTTTCATCAGAAAAATCTGAAGATTGATCATAATCATTTTCACAGATTGGATTAAGACAATCTTGAACACTATTTTTTGAAGTAGTTAATGCTGAACATGATGAAGAACGTCGAGTTTGCTGAGTTTGTTTAATTTTTGTGTCATCAATCTAAAGTTGTAGTAAAAGAAATTAAAACATTGAATGATGAAATAGAGAATATTGACGGTGTTTTCAAGTATTCTTTGAAAAGGAAAAGCGTTTCTTCAATAGCTTCGATTTGAGATTTTTATAAGTGAAGCAAACATAGAATACATGGTTTATAAAATATATTAATGAACAAAGGCGCTAAAAGGGAAAAATATATTGAAAACAGATATTCTCGAAGAATTTTATTAATTGATATAGTATAAATTTTTCTCAATGAATTCGATAGGCAACAACACAATATTATTATACTTCTATTTTGCAAAATAGTTCAGGAATGTAACTCTTCTCACAATGATACTACGTAGTTACATCGTGAAATAAAAAATGCTTCTGGTTTCTATAATACTCTTTTAAATTGCAATTTACGGATAATTATAGCCACGTTGATGATTCCAAGTTGAGCTTTAGTAAAAGAATTTATTTTCTTATAAAAAATATTAACTTTTTTATGTCTAGATATTTTGGAAAGCTGCTGTTATCATCCTACTAAAACTACGATCTCAAAAATATGATTCATTTTCTAAAGCTTGATAAGCTACTTACCTGAGTAAAATTGTTGGATGAAGATGATATGTTTTCATTGTCAGTTGATGGTTGAGTAAAACATTCAGTCATGTTCATAATAACTGTTTGTGCTTTTATTAGTGGTCGATTAATAATTTTGTAATTCCAATTGTTTAACAAGTTCTTCAGTGATTTATTAAGATGATGTGCATCTTCAAATAATATGCTGTAAAGAAGTCGACAACATCTATTGTGATTTGCAAATCTAATTTCAAAAATATGATAAAGTGACAAGAGTAGAGCAACAGCTGTTGAACATGAATTGGTTTCTGCAACGAGATGGAAGTCAAGATAAAGTTCAAACTTGTCTTCGAGAATTTTAATGCAAGGATACGGTACAAGCACTTCCTATGGATAAAGTTCAAAAAGCTAGCGTATAATGAATAGATAAATAACTAATTTACCTGGTATGTGAAAACATTACCAAGTGAGTCACCGAATCGTTTGCATAAAATTCGAATGATTCGAATAGGTAATACGTCTACAACAAAAAAACTGAAAAATGAATACTTTTATCAAATATAATTATTTTTAGAAGATGACTATAGTAGAAAGATCCCTGAGAGTTATATCATTATTATAAAATATATTATCAGAGTCAGTGGCAAACTTGAAGAAAACTTCAAAATCAAATACATTCTATTTTTCATGTTTTGGAATTTATATGATGAAAATGCTAAATTTGTTCTTACTCAATAAGTAGAAAAAAAGTTACTCAGGTCGATATAGATACAGGTTCAATCTTTTCCTTGCTTTTGTATACATTGCGTTTTAAATTTTCTTACCTGATAAATAGCAATTATTATCTGGTAAGCATTCGAAGAACTTTGGTAATAGAGTATCTATATTTTCATTAAGATCAATACCAGCAGTTTCTTTTACTTCTGCCAAGAGCTAGAAAAAAATTGATCGGAGATTAAACCAAGATGTTCATATATCGGATATTTCGAAAAATAATTCTTAATTATCATTAATATCTCTTACCAAATCTGCACGACGATAACCAGGAAATCTTTCAAGTAATTCATCTATTGTTAATTCACGAACATGTAAACGACGAATATTAAACGACTGACTCCAGAGATTATGAAGAATATTATTATCAGGATTGTCTTTAAGTAATTCAATGTTCATCTGATTGACCAAAGACGAAAGATTTTCATTTTGACGATCATTTAAATTGATAAATGGCTATTAAAATATACAATATGAATACAATATAAAATTACTTTATCACTTACTATGTCATTCGTTCGACGTTGAGCTTGTGCAACAACACTTTTTCTTTTCGGTCGACCATTTTCTTTACCATGATTATATTTAGTTTGTTTAAGCTTCACCAATTTATTATCCATTTGTAAAGGTCTATGTTCACGTTTAAATTTTTGTTTTATCGATTCATGCCATTCTTTCTATACAAATGAGAAGTTATTGAATTTGAATCAATTTATTAGTTTTTCTTACTGTAGCTTCACAAGCTAAAGCTGATGGAGTAGACAGTTTTTCAACAATTGATTTAGCCATGATCATATATTCATCATGATTGGGATAACTAAATTCATATAAATACATATATATGTCAAATATTATCAACAAGAATGACTTACAGTAAATTGTATGTTTTTGTTACATCATCAAATAGAAGCGATAATATTTCACCACGTAAAGTTGTATGAGGATTAAATTTCGAAAGGTTGTTTTGATCAATGTAATATTGTATTCTTGTTGTTAAAATTGGACCTGTATAATCTGTAGGCAGCCGTGATTCGACATGTAAATCATTATTTTCATTACAATCAATATTTGATGATATATCATCACGTGTTTGACCATTTTGATTTTCTTCAGCCGCTAATAATACAGGTGAATCCGGTAAATCATGATGGTGTGTTACATCTAAAAATCGACGATGACGAGGATAATAATAATATCGATTCGAATAGATTACCTGTAATTTCATCAGTGTCTGGATCATGTTCCTTGAAACTTTCTATCAATTTTGTACGTTGATCAACAAATTTTACTCGGTCTTTAATCCGAGGATATATTTTTACAATATCCTCCTGTTGTAGTAACAGTAATGTTGCACCATCAATGTCTTCGTCTAAACACAAAAAGAAATTATTTGATAAAAAGGAATCAAGAGATGATGTACAAAAAAAAATAGTTATGAGTACAGTTTGCCAAAGTAAACCGTGCTTTTTGTTGTGCATGAATATAGGAAAGAAGAATACTTTTTATCGTTTAGTTAAACGAACTAATAAATTTATATAATATGTTTCTTTCACTACATAGATATCAAGACAATGAGGAAATAAATCTAAACAATGTTCAATATCGATTTTTTCTAATGTTCCAGTATATTCAACCTCATAAGCCCATAATTTTTCATTAAAAGCTTTTGTATGTAATTTTTCAGCAATCGCAAACCATTTTTCATTAATTTTTAACAAATGATGAATTTGGCAAAATATCGGAATTTCTTCAGTGTGAATAAGATCATAAACAAATACAGATTTTTGTTTCATTTTAAGATCGTGATAATAAATCGATAAGCTCTCACTGATTGAGTCAGTTTCGTTAACATATTTCTTCAACAAACGTTGAATAGGAATAGAAAATTTAACGAATTCAATTAGCCTCGACGAATAAACAGTTATAGATGGTGAGAAGCGGGACGATGCTAACTTGTTTAGCAGACATTGACGCAGCTGATGGCGTTTAGACATAGTGAGAAGAGGATTTTTGAAATTGAGGCTACGATTAACAATTTGCTTAAAGTACTGGTGTTTTGATTCAAAACGCATACACGAATTTAGTATGGGTAAACCATGTTTTTCGATGGAACGACAATATTCAGTAAGAAAATGAACTTTTGGCGTTACATGATCAGGTAAACGCTCAACCATCAATGAATAAAAAGATTTACATAAAGCATCAAGATATGGTAACCAAGATTTTCTCATGATACCAGCATACAAATAGCTAATGATTTCACGTAACAACGTATACAAATAAAATAGTGCCAGCTCATCGATAATATCATAAAATATTATAGGTAGCAATTTAAATAAACATAACCTTTGACTAGCAGTACCAATAACATTAGAGTTAGTCAAATGTTGCTTTTTAATGGGAGGAGGTTTATTAGACAGATCATTAAATCCAAAGTTGAAGCTCGACGTGCGTTCTTCAATTTGGGCATAAGACAAAATACGTTGTTGTATAGCTTCCTTTAATAAAGCAGTAATGATTAATGGACATAGACCTGAATGATACAAAAATATTTTTTTGCATTTGATAAGACACTTTACTGTGTTAATTACCTTCTGCAACATCGTGCATTAAATCCGGTGGTAATGACTCAGTTGGATGAAAACCGACTAAGTTTTTAAACCAGCTGCAGCATTTAACTCCTTGTATAATTTTATCATCATTGTTCTCAATAACTTGACTAAGAACCATGTCATGCTTTAACTTAGTTCGAGGAACAAATGATATATCAGTTAATGGAATAAGTCGTTGTTCGTACGTAATTAAACAATGACGGCAAAAGCTTCCTGAACTAAATGTTTTCTGAAAACCTCCAACTTCGTTGGCACCTAAATTGTCAGCAGATACAGTTGAAAAAACCAAATATATTCTACTTGATGGACATGCAATCGTAATGCCTTCATTTTGAAGATTATTCAAATCATTCACCAGAACATCCATTAGTATTTTTGCATTATTCTGATCGTTCAAGTGTTTGGAATAACACATACAAAATAATCCAATGGAATTTACCTTTGATCGCATAGTTTCTGGCATATCGTCCAAGAGATAGTAAAAACAGGTAAACTTGTGGAAATCTCGTTTAGCGCCAATCGGATTAGTAACAGAAATCCCATCTGTGTATAATTTAAGTAATAAAACATTTGAATTTTCTCGACGAGACATATTTGATTTAATACAACACCCTTGTCGATTTGATAGGATCAGATCTTTATCTTTAGCTACATAGTTCGAAAAAGAGTTGATATTATCAGTTATAGACTTTAATAATGTTTCATTTTGAAGCATGGTTCGTATACTTTGTTTTAAAGGTATATAGTAAGCACGTTCTTCATTTTTATTTAATATAATTTCAGTTGGAGCTTCATAGTTAAAAAAATTCTTACATTGTTTTAAGAATTGATATTCGTTTTTTGAAATTGAATTAATGATCGAAATAACTTGTGCGAAAACTATATCCATATCATTTGTTGGTATGAAGGCGGAGGTTGATGTTTTTATTTTAATCAATTTAAAAGTCATATCGAGAAGAGTCGAAATAAAAGATGAAATACATTGAACAATCTTTTGCGGAAGCAAGTGATACTCTCGCAGTTCAAGAAGAACACGAGTATAAAATTCCGCAAATTCTTTAAGACTTAATTTATCCTCTTTAACGGGAACAGTAATTGGATTCATATTTAAAAAATTATATTCCATTTCATCGACTTCTTCATCCACATAAATCGATGAATCGGAGTTATCAGCGATACTGGACTCATCATTAAATGAAGCATCAGAAGAGAAATCCTCCATAAAATGAATATCATCAATACCTGATGATATATTATTCTTGCTATCGTCAGAAGAGTCGATGAGCGAACGATGGCAACGATAAATGTGTCGGCGATAACTATCGAACGTCGAGTATCGAAAACCACAAAAAACAGTTAATTCACATCGAATACCAAAAGATGGATCGTCACGATGATATTCACGAATATGTTTGAACAGCGACGAATACGTTTGAAAAACATTTGCGGTAATACAAAGAGGACAAAAATAATAAGTTTCAGACATAATGATTATTCAGACAGCGCAGACAATTTAACTAATATAATATTCACAAAAAACAGTGATATTAATAAAAACAAATTTTCAAAAATGAAGCATGCTCTATCTTTACTAAAATATAATCAATTATTATTTCGCGGATAATAACGCAAAACGACACTTGATATCGTTTACAATAAGTGATTTAAACCCTTTCATATACAGAATTTTTATTCAATACTGCATTAAAAATTTACTTCCCGAGAACCATCGCGCGTAATTTAGTTATAAGATATGCTTCGAGTAAAAAAGTCCACTCTACTAATCGGAATCCACCTTAAACCTCCTCATCATATCAAACGACACATTTCTTAAACCTATATTATTCTGATCTTTATAAAACAACACTGTACCTCGAAAAAGACGAATAACTACTTCATCAGCATTAAATGATTTAATCCAGTTAATCACTTGAATACAAGACAAATTTTCCATTGATGACACTAACAATAAAAAAGAATAAGTATGCCGATAACTAAAATTAAGCCTCTCTAACACGAAAGAAACATACCTTCTTTTCCCTATAAATCTACTATTTGACAACGTAATTGAATCGATCTAGATCACGAGTGACAATAAGTAAAGATGAACAGACGAACTGAACGGATAATCTAAATAACGGAATGAATATTATTATTTCAATGAATATATTGTTATAAAAAAAATATCGTTTCGATTACCTTTAGACGGACTTTTTGATAACCAAAATAAATAGATCTAGATCACGAGTCACAGTAAGAAAAGATGATCAGACGAAATTAACGGATAATCTAAATGACGAAATGAATATTATTATTTCAATGAATATATTGTTATAAAAAAAAATATCGTTTCGCTTACCTTTAGACGGACTTTTTGATAACCAAAATAAATAGATCTAGATCACGAGTCACAATAAGAAAAGATGATCAGACGAAATTAACGGATAATCTAAATGACGAAATGAATATTATTATTTCAATGAATATATTGTTATAAAAAAAAAATATCGTTTCGCTTACCTTTAGACGGACTTTTTGATAACCAAAATAAATAGATCTAGATCACGAGTCACAATAAGTAAAGATGAACAGACGAACTGAACGGATAATCTAAATAACGGAATGAATATTATTATGTCAATGAATATATTGTTATAAAAAAAAAATATCGTTTCACTTACCTTTAGACGGACTTTTTGATAACCAAAATAAATAGATCTAGATCTCAAGTCACAGTAAGAAAAGATGATCAGACGAAATGAACGGATAATCTAAATGACGAAATGAATATTATTATTTCAATGAATATTGTTTTAATAAAAAATATCGTTTCTTTTACCTTTTGGCGGACTTTTCGATAACGTAAATAAATAGATCTAGATCACGAGTCACAATGAGAAATGTTGATCAGATGAATTGAATGGATAATCTAAATAAAGAAGCGTAAATGTGAATTTCAATGTTGTTTTTGTCATAAGAAATGTTTTTTCTTTTACCTTCAAACGGGCTATTTAATAAAGTGGTTGAATAGATGAATAGTCGAGTGAAAATTCTCGAAAAGCAATAGACGAAGACAACTGGCGCACTAGTTGGAGAACAAGAATAAAACACTGTGAATTATCTCCCTCTCGTACTGAATAAATTGCGAGTGGTCGGATGTTAGTCCTATATGATTGGTTATTTCGAGGATGGTTAATTTAACATATAGCAGCGACACTAACAGAGAGCAGATAGTGGTTCGATATTGTGAGGTGAGAAATTCTTGTGCTTTATCAAACATGCGCAAACGCCCGTCGCAAATTGAAAATAGCATTCAAGATATAAAGGAAATGAAAATACATTAGCGATGGATTAACTAATTAATGAAAAATCTATCTGTTATGTTGCTGAATACTCAATGATTTAACGAATCAAATGTTTTTAGAGCTTTTCGTTGGAATGTTTCAATAGTTGAGTGAGTCCATATGATATTTGTATACATTTTCTCTAGTATATCAGGATTAATTTGTTATTTTCGTGGCAATGCTAAATAATAAAAAGCAACTCATTAACAGAAATTAAAATGCTCTTTTTTATTGTCTTCAGTGCTATACCTTATCGGATAATATGTCGAGACTCGGTTGACCAGTGTATCGATGTGATAAATAAACATTACATTATCTATTTACATACTTCATTCTTCTGTCTTCTGTCGGCTGATCTATGTCTGTAACTGATGCATTATATAGTTGTATGGGTCTTTTTACAATATTTGCTTTTTATGCTTTCAGTTTGGGCTAATAAGCTCTGTTGTATTTCGTTGTACTGTTGTGTCGACAATCGTACTATTTTTGCAGCAAGCAGTGAAACATTCCTAGTCAAGCGGATAAATAAGAAATTTTTAATAGTGTACATTATCGCATATGGTTTCAAACGAAACGCAGTGATCTTGTGATGATCTCTTGGAACTTTAATAGTCTCTACAAGGGAGCTGTAAAGCTTAGCCTGTTGTTCGGAACTACCATTGATACCGCGAAATGAAACAGTGATTGGGTAACTAACAAAACCATGTGATTGCCTCTGTAAAACAACAGAAGGTTCCGTATTTTTTTATACGAAACTTTCAACAGTCTTGTAAGTTTAATATAATGGTTTCGTATACATTGCACGAAACCAATTGCATTTCCGTAGAACAAATAAAAGTTCCGTTTGCATAATATGAAACCACTGCTAGTTCCGAAAGTCTTAAAATGGCTCGGTACACTTTTTACGGATCTATTGATGGTTTGAAGAACTAGATCATGGTTTCGTATACAGTGTACGAAACTATTAAGAGTTTTGCCATTGATTTGAACGTTCGGTATGAATAGTGCAAAACTATAGACAGTTTCGAAATTCAGATATAGGTTTTATGTGAATTATACAATACGATTGATGGTTCCGTATATCTGTCACGAAACCATTGTTAGTTTCATGAAGTCTATAATGGTTCGGCATATCTTTACGAAACCGTTCATGCCTCTATAAGGGTTGCAAAGGTTTCGCATCCACTTTACGAAACTATTAATTGTTTCGAAAGGCATAAATTGGTTTCGGATATCTTTTGCGGAACCATTAATGGTTTCGTCCAGTTGTCTGAAGGTTCAGCAGACATACTACGAAACTTTTGCCAGTTTCATATAGTATCTAAAAGTTCCGGATAGGCTCTACGAAACCATTCATAGTTGTTTAAAAGCTCTAATCGTTCCGGACATATTCCACGAAACTAACCATGGTTTCCCAAAGATATACTGAACTATTATATCATTTACGAAAGTGTAAATGGTTTCGTGTAATGCATGCTGAACCTTTGGATGCTTCGCGAAACTTTCCATAGATTCGTATAAGATACACGGAACCTTTCCTTGTTAAACGAAACTCTCATTCGTTTCGTAAAACATAAAATAGTTCAGCGTAGATCGTACGGAACTATTCACTGCTTCATAAATGATACAATGGTTCAGTATTTCTTTGACGGAACCGGAAATAGTTTCGTAGAATGTGTCCAGAACCTTTACTGAACTTACGCAACCCTGAATGGTTTCGGAGAACTTATGTGGAACTTTTATATGCTGTTCAGAACTCCTAATGGTTTTGTATGACGAATACGAAACTATCAAAAGTTCGGTTCACGCTCAACAGAACTTCTAGATAGTTTCGTAGTAAAACTTCAAAACTCTTTCAAACTATCGGAACTTAAAAAAGGTTCTGTATGAGAGTTCCGAAACTATTTTCATGCCACGGAACTTAAAATCGTTTCGTAAAATAGTGCCGAACCTTCAAAGTTCGGTAGAACACCTATTTTTTTACAGTGTGCGTCAATTAAGGATGTTTTCGAGTGAAAA